TTTTGGGAAAGCAAGGCTATGTGAAATTCAATGGAAACATCAGCTCAACTCATATCATTGTGGGAAAATTGTTCTTCCACCAGTCCTTCATCACCTTAAACGAAATTGGGTGAATGCCTCTCATATTACTGATTAACTGGTAGTCACGAAAACAATACTTAATTGGAAAAATAAAAGTCATTCAAGTAGGGTCTCTCTGGTCTCAACTTCGTGCATTCCATATAGCTAGATGGGGCTAGTCTAGTGATGTGGCCTATTGGATATATTTTTATTATTGACCCGCAAGACCAATGTCAGTGTGGTCAAAACTCCACACTATTATTGACAAAAACACATGCTAAAAAAACTGAGATAGGATTCATTTAAATGAACAACCGGGTATTATAACTAATCCATTGTATTTGGCTCAACTATTTTCTATAACCCTGGGGCAAAAATGCATATTTACCATTAAACGAGATTCACTGATAGCCAGAACATCAATCCAATACTCAGCAATATGATGTTTGAAATGCTGTTATATTCTAAAGTAATGGATGAAGCTAATAAGAGGCACAGATGCCAAAATTTAATTTGTAGTCAGTCTATACAGCATGCTGGGCATAATCTCTAGATTTTTCTAGCAAGCGCCTTTACAAAATATTAATGAGAATTGGAAGCTGAGGTCAAGTATTCGAATAGTATGGAAGGATAAAATCTTCATATTCTTATGAAGCACTAAGTCATATAAAAATTATCACAATTTAGTATGAAATCTTACCAGTTTTCATAACCAAAACAAATGTATGCCCGAGAATTGACTAAGTGTATCGCACTGTTTCATTAGACAATTTGTAAATGATTTCAAAGTTCGATTGTCAATGTTAATAAAAATATTTCAAATCGCTAAATAAATGTCAACGTGTCTTTTTTTGACTAACACAAGTAATCAAACTCTTATTTTCAGAATGAGTATGTTTCCCCACTAGTAGTAATTTTTGAGTACAAATTTATTCGATTAAGTTCTCACCTTAAGGACTTGCGGTTCTTGCCACAATCATTCGAATAGGCCTCGCAATGCCATTGATTTCACTTGGTCTTGCCTCCTAGAAGGTTTTATCATCCAAGGTGGACAAAATGTCAACCGGACCCAGGTCGCATCAGCAGCCATAACAGGATTCGAAACTTGGTTGTACGCATCGTGACGTCACAAGTTATCCCTCCGCTACGCAGCCACATGGGACTGTGGGTCAAAGGGCAGATTGACTTTCAAGGCAAGCCAGGCATTTACAAATTAGTGGCTATAATGAGATTGCCAGTGGAGCAAACTTGTATTTACCATTGTAATCGACTTCATTACTTAGCTTTGAAAGGAGTATTTTTCGAGATTATCAGTAATTATTAAAGAATGAATGAAATTAATACTTTCATTTCGCTTGAGAAGGCGGGTGGAAGGGATTCATAGCTTGGCCTCACCGGATACCGAAGCAGGATAGCCTTGGACTTTTGTCTGTTGAACTACGCGAAGAAGACCTCGGTTCACCGTCCTACAACCCCGATGACTCAGTGCTGAGCATTCGTCCGTCATATAACAGACATCGTCAGAGTCAGAAACCGTTATTCACGAACAATCACCAAAAAATATAAAGTATAAAAGGTTTTTTGGTGATTGTTCGTGAATAATGGTTTCTGGCTCTCACGGTGTCCGTCACATGACGCACGAAAGCTCAGCACGGAGTCATCGGGGTTGCAGGACGGTGAACCGAGGTCTTCTTCGCACAGTTCAACAGACAAAAGTCCAAGGCTACCCTGCTTCGGTATCCGGTGAGGTCAAGCTATGAACCCCTTCCATCCGCCTTCTCCAACGGAACTAAAAGTATACTAGTATCAATCTACTAAGGTAATCTTGGAAGCATAGTTACTCTTCAAATAAATGAAATTAAATCCCAGAGGGCCTGATTTTATCATAAGCTACATAGAATAATAAAAACTAAAAAAATCTTACAAAATCTCATGTTCTTGAGATCGGTCAGTAGCTATGATGAGAATTAGATCCATCCAAAGAGCAAATTAGATGAGAATTAGAGTTAATAAATTACGTCTCATAAAAGGTAGGCTCGTGTCGTGGCGTGTATTGGAGGTAAGTAGCCTCACTTGGAATTAGGACTAAGTTGTAATTCTGAGGCTTGCGCCATGGCGTGTGAGAATGCTAGTATTTGGGATCATTGGCTCTTGATAGCCATGCAAACACATTTATCCTTCAACGTCTGTTTGAATAGGCCTGTGTGTGCTAGCGAAAATACTGAATTGCCGATATACTCGCATCTTGCTCTCATCCTACTTAGTAGAGTATTTTCCGTTCTGCAACCTTTATTCAGCTCAGGTCAAAGCCAACCTGTAATTATCCTGGTGCCCCCTATCGCATTTGCCCTAGCTTCGTGCCTGAGACAATGGTCTCCAATATCACGCAGCGCCATTTCCATCCAGCCTTTACGACGACTTTCTGCCCTACACTGTTCTGCCTTGTCCTTCCCTGCCCTTTCTTGTCTCTTCCTGCCCTGATCTGCCATGCTCTTCCTCGCCCTACTCTCCCCAGCCCTGCCCTGCTCAGCTCTGCCCTGTACTGTCTTGTTCTGTCTTGCAGTGATCAGCTCAGCTCTGCTCTGCTCTGTTCAGCTCAAATCAGCTCTGCTCTACTCT